AAATTCATTCACAAACTTATTAATAACGCCTTAATATTAACAAACAAATGTTAGATATACTGCTGTAATAAACTCATCATTCGTTCGGAAGCATTTAAATACTTTAAAAGAAGCCCTATCAATTCGCTTGAATGAGCCCACACTGTACTATTCTCGGACTAAATTGCCCGTTATTATCAAATTATTGACATTGTATTATTTATTCACCCACGCTTTCCCGCATTTTTTATATACAGTAATATTCCATTCAAAAACGAATCAAATTTAATATCGGTTTGGCACGTGCCTATTCATTTAACAATATGAACAACCGACCTTGAAATACGCAGGGTTGGAATAAAAAAAATTGGTTTAGAAAAAGGGGTTTTTCTATGAGGGCTAAAAATAAGTAGCTTTATAAAGTTTGATTTAACTAATTAAACTCATTATTAATTGATAACAATGATTAATTGAGGTGTTAATTATATCAGTAACAAATTATGATTTTATTATCTTTTAATGCAAATAGTTCTTTTGCTAAAATAAAACCAAATGTATACATAGTAGATAGTATTAGGAAGAACGCAGAAACAATTTTATGAATCATTGTCAGCAAACGAAGTTAAGTCCATTTCTGCTAATACGCGAACCTCCCCAGTGATTACACAAAAGCAACGCAACAATACGTGCATTTAATTCATTGCCTGTCAACTGGAGATAGGAATCTAATCGCTGGGAATCCCATATATTTACTGTTTAGATCCAGTTCACATGAATGTGCCGGTCGCTAGTTTCGATCGCTATCGTCTGTTTTGTGTTCTGATAATAGAACTAAAATTGTTAATTTCATAGTTTGGTGAGTCGGTTTCGGTTTATCAGTAAAAAGAAAATTGGTTTTCGATTAAAATACGTCATCGGCGCCCGATGTTGATAATGAAAACTTACAGAGGAAATACATAGTTGATTTGATTAGTTCGAATAAGCGATAACATGAAATTATATCTACGAGTATCGTCTATGATTTAATTTTTCGCAAGATTGTTGATTAAAATAACGAATTAAATCATTAATAAAATTTATTGCCGCATCACGGTTGGAAAGTAGCAAATTATATCCAACATCAACTGCATTCAATGGTGGCATTCAGTTTTGAAAATGAATTACACGTCCTCGTTGATGCATGTCGCAACAGAAGTTCTCTTTCATGCTAATTTTGTACATATCTAATAATACTATGATTACACACTATCTTTTTAAATAATTTAAAAATTTACTGATGGTTGTTTTTTGAAAACGTAGTATTAAATTTGGAGTATTGAAGCTTTGTTGGATCATATTTGTAACACATCCTAGAGTATACAAGAACAATTTCAAATGAAATGTGTGGTTTATCAACGTTATTCGTCACGTGTAGAGGTTGGTGGTGAAACAAATAAAAGGGAAAAACGACTTATTCTCTTATCTCACCAGGCACCAGGTAAAAAAATCGATCAAATAATGTCTGTATTGGTTTCTACATCATTTCCTATTTTCCCAATAAAACCACTATCAATTCTATCATTATTTTAGGTGTATTTGTTTAGATGTTTGTATCGATAAAAAATCTATCCTGCTATTTTAAAATCGGCTTTGGGGAATAAATTTGTGTTGTTTTTATTCAGCTATAGCAAATCGTAGTGTCGGCAAACAAAACCCGAAAAATGTGTAAAATTAATGGGGAATTTCAAGTAATATTTACCTATCTCTCAGCTTGCAAACATACATCGTCATACAAAAATATTTTACCTACCCTGCTGATAAATTTATTTGTTTTTGTCGATTTTCTGGGGATATGTGAATAAAAATAATTTCCATAAAGCTGCCGCATTGTCTACATATTGTTCATAGGGATTTTTTTCTGAATTAACTTTTGGACCGTATTGTAAATATTGACCTATTTATACCTATACGAGATTAATTTGAAAATAAATTTTATTATGCAGTCTATAAGGTAATGAAATGGATGTAGAGAAAAAAGAAGTTTTCAATTAGGGTAAAAATCAATTATATTTGGAGTTCAAAAGATTGACATCGCTAAATGAGCTTTACCAGATTTTTTAAATTGACTATAGGTAATTTTTCTTAATCAAAGGTCAACTTTCCCCTCTTATAAAATAAATAGCTGGAATATTTTTGTAATAAAGCAACTATTTATCATAAAGTTTAATATCGTATAGGATAATTTGTCATGTAGCGAAGTAAATTTTTTAAAAATCGCGAAACGCAAGTCCACCGTAAAGCATGAAATATCGATTTGCAGGAGGCTTTTCGGCGTGTGCTTATGCAGGTGGCAGACAATTTGTAAATTTTGTGATTGGTTACCGGTTTGACAGGATGATTGCCGGATCCGAAGCGAAGTAAAAGAAACGTTCCAACGTTCGTTAAGAAGGCAAAGAACCGAAACGAAGTTATTAAAGGGAAAAGGTGTGGGCGAAACTTAATTTCCGGTTCCTCTCCTTTCAAGAAAATACTAGTTACTCGTGTATTTTGACTTTGAGATTGCGTGACGATTTTGCCGACTGACATGTACAACCAATATCCTTAGGTGAACACGCCATGTTCTCAATGCAATACCAACGGTGATGAAAAATCGATGCTGATATGCTATGGGTATCGCAACGCCGTCCCCTTGTTTAAACTTCTCGAACTGATTTTCTTTCGATAAAACTTTTACCCAAAAATCAATATCTTGTACTTGAATATATTCTTATACCTATAGTAGGTATTTACATGTTTTGTAAGTTTTATGAACGTTAATACACATATTTGAAATTAAAAGAGAAACTTTCTCATTTTTCGATAATAAAAAATTAAGCTACTTTGAAAAGTGTATTCCACTTTTATCGCAAACTGGAAAAGAATGCCTATAAAAAATAATACATCCACGTTTACCGTCCAAAATATTTTCCTTCCAGGCAGGCCTCAGACATAAAAAACGAGGAGTACTTATAATCTTTAGACGTTTTGAAACGATAAAAGCACTTCAAATTCCGCCTATTCCAAATTCCATAAAACGGGAAAGTAAAAAGTCGCTTTTTACGAGTTATACAACTGTTTTTGGTTTTTGATATCCATATGGCAAACGTTCTGCTTTATGACTTTATTAACGATCTTGTAACTTCTAGTTGTTAAATAGATTATCGTTTATTCCAGAAATAGCATTAGAATAGCATTCGATTGCGTTAAGTACAAGATGGAATTTAGTATAGGAGAACAATAAAAGCCATTAAAACTTGAGTTTTACGATACTTTAACACATTCCGGAATTGTGATACTGTCGGCAAAAACCTAAATACATCTAACGAAAACAACTGTTTATCAGAAACAAAACGAGCGCGTATAATAAAGATAACTTTATTATTGTGTTTCACACTTTAACATTAACTATCAAGCAGACATTTATAATTTTAACATAATCAATGAAGGCCTAATATTAATTTAAAATAAGTTATTTTATTAAATGACACCTCCTTACACTTTTCATTGTTGAACTAACAACTAATTTAATTTGAATAAACGGAGAAAAATTTGACCAGAATAACAAATTATTTCATTCTCTAATTTATGGGGCGTGTATACGTCATATCGCAATCCATTTTTGTTCTGTTTTATTTTGAACAGAACCTTCTCGTAAATCAACTTTTATCTTAAATCGTCCAATTAAGGATGGAATCGAAAGAAAAATGCTTCGGCCGTTTTGATATCGCTCTTATTTATTATCATCAGCTTTAATTATACTTCGTAATTTATAACTATTTTTTTTAATTAAATGTCATAATTGGGTCCATTAAGATTACGTGGAATTTTTATTTGTTGCTTTCGAAATGCGTGTACGTACGTAATGGGTTGAGCATGATATTTTTGCGCTTTTGAATGTAAAAATAACTAATTCGCTCTCTCCATTAAATGGAAAAGCGACTGTTTTGTTTTAATATTTTTTTGTAGGCGAAATATCTACTCATTTTTCAAATTTTCAATAAGCTCCCCCTTTAAAACCCCAGAGACTTTTTCTATAGTATTCAAATTTAAAATTTAAATTGCTCTTCTATGGAAAATGTTATCCTATGGGCGCTCCCTCCAATCGAAAATTCATTCTTTTTCGGCATATAATTTGATAAAGCGTATATAGAACAGTTTCCACCTTTTAAAGGTTTGGTCCTTTTACTCCCTTCGTCACATTTCCATATCGCCCGTTCCTGCTTTCTTTGAGGAAGCAAACCGAATTAAGAGTGCGCTTTCATTTTCTGTTTTGTTTATTTTATGAGGCGTTCTTATCCTATTAATCAATATAGATCAATTAGCAATTATTGAGCATCCCAGAAATTTTCAATCAATTTGCTTCAACTAATTCAAAATAAACATTTTCTCTACGCAAACATGTGTAATTTGTATCAAACGTTGAGTGAAGTTTCCCGAGAGGTGCGAAGTTAAACCAATAGAGACTTCTAATGAAATTAAATGATGAATTTAAAAGGAGGAATAAAGTTAGAGTCAATTAATAAAGCACAAATTTTAATAACAATACATTTATTCCCAATTTCTAAAAATAAATCTTTTTAACTAATTAATTAGTAAATATTTTCAATTATGAAGTCAATTTTGAGTTATTTTTTTTCTTTCCTTAAATATTTCATAGCCGATACTTTGATTTTTAAATACACCAATTGATAAAATTACTATTAAGTTTTCCACAAGTGTATGAATTATTTAATAGCATAACCTACTTTGGTCACTTTTTTATGAATTATTACATTAGAGCAGAATACATTTTTCTGAATTTTATTGTTTATATTTCCAACTTCGGCAAGAAAGTAAAACTTAGCGCTTCCGTCCTATCAAAATAAAGCCTTTTTGTGATTCAAATTCGAATTTCCAGCTAGCGGAAAATAAAATAAAAAAAACACAAACGAGCGAAACATCGGGACAATGTACGAATGATAAAATTTCCGGAAGTTTTGAAGTTGTTTATTGCTTTTTAAGATATGCAAATCACTAGCGAGTTTTTATGGTCCATCGAGAAAGGTATTAATTATTTTTGTGGTGTTTTTATTTCAGTTTCGGCTTTGTAATGGTTTACAATAAAGTTTTATAATTTATGAGTAGATTAACGAGGCAATAAACGCGGGAAATGGATTTGTATAACGACTATCGGAATTAGAATCATTCTAAACATTGAAATCAATTGGAACGAAGAACATACTAGGTATTGATAACGTTCACAATGTTATCACTGTTGGATGTACAATAGCGTTAATACCATTCATTCGTTTATTTATTTACTGTTTTATTATTAAAAAGCTTAAAAGCTCTTTATTTATTTATTTCAATGACATTTAATATTATTTGTAAATTGATGGAAACTCACATAAAATATAACTTTTGTTTCATTAAAATGAGGCTGATGAATAAGGTTTAAAAAAGTTATGGACTAAACAGGGAATGAAAAAGACCTGTGGATCGAACATTAAAGAGTTAATTTGATGTTTATTCGATCGTAAATAATGAAATACCGATATTAGAAATGATAGGCACTCAATTTAGTTCGATTTAGTGACCAATGTTTAGGACTCTATGCTGTTAAAAATTGATCACATGGAAGATATTTAGTGGATTTCTGGAATACAATGGTTGATATTTCAATAAATCCTTATTCATTCCTTATAAACTGTATAATATTTGAAATAATCTCATATTGATTGTTCAATTTTGCTTAGTTAATTCGTATTTTTATTTTTCCAAACATTCCTCTGACAACAACGACAAAGCGCCTAAGCGTTTTATATTCCGGCTTCGTTGTCAATCCTCTAAAAAAATGCCTCACTTTTGGATAACCGATTATCCCAGTTCCATCAGCGTTCGGAAAAACCTGACATTCCCGATGTTCCCGACGAAATTGAAATTCTTTTGCCACGCATCATATTTATGTTGGTGGATTTTCTGTTTGGATTTTATTAAGTGGCACGGAATGTATCCGAAATCCCGGATACAAATTGGATAATTTGTCTTGCAGCCGCCGCGATGCATCGATTTTTCTTCCTTTTGCTTTTCTTCAAGAATTGTCCATTCAATATTCAGAGATAACATTTTCTATCACGCAGATTTTTAAAGTGTTATACTGAACGTAGAATTTGTTTCAGGAAAAGGTCGGCTCTATCCGGCGTATAGCCTGAGCGGTTCGGAGGGCGAAGACTCGCCCAAACGATACAAATCCTCGCACAACACCTACCAGCATCCGCTTTACCAGCAACCGTCCGGGCTGAGCGATACTCCTACATCTGAGAACGCTTCTGACGCCACGCTAACCGATTCTGAACTGGCTCTGGCTAGGGATTCTACTCTTCTTGTACATAACGGTGAGTACCAGCTACACTTAATATTGATAGATGATTGTGGAACAGTTTTTCTTCTTCTATCTGAGTGGAACTTTGTAAATTAACTAATGATATAAGTACCCAAGTTTTCTTCCAGTGCAATTTTAATTGCTTATCAAGTTCATTACTAATCAATATTAACAATAAATAAGTAGTAATAACAAAATAAAATTGGAATCAAAGACTACATTTATTTTTTTTACTGCCGTTTTTTTCGAATTTATGAGTCGGGACGATGAAGTTCCGGAGTTCGCCGCTGATTTAGTGCCAGCCTGAGTTATAGCCGGCGCGATTTTTTCCCAACTTGATAAATTAGCTCATTTTCTTTTATCGAATTTACGGGTAAACGTGTACCGTGCCGAACAAATATTTTCGCTACAGCTTTAAAACCATCGGCTTCGTTGAAATACGGCCGACGTCCTTATATACACTCGCAAATTTTATTGGAAGTCTAAAAACCAGAAGTTTTGCTATAAAATCTCGGAGATGTATCGATTAAAAATACCTAAATGTCATTTTCAATATTCTTCGGGAAACAAGAACAGGAAAAAACTAGTTATTTCGACGGCTAAATCTGAATGCAATTACGTTTTTGTGACGCTTTATATAGAAAAATAAGAAAAGCGCGAACGATGCCGGTAAAAACCTCTCGGAAAACTTTAATTCGCAAAAAGAATAAATAGCTTTTGAGTCGGAAAGAAGAAGAAGAAGGAGAAGAAGTGAAACTCTCGACTACCTCGTTACGGGCCTAATAGGATTCGCTCTTTGAATCATCTGGGAGAGAATCGTTTCATTACTATAATGAGTTCCACTCACTCTGTCGCTTGTGTATGCTTGCTCTGTTGCAACCATTATTAAAACCGAGATAGGTGTAACAATTATTGTCTATGTGTATTTAATGGAGGCTTGTCTAAGGTATCTACTTAAATTTTTCAATTAAACATTAATTCATAAAACTTTTTAACTGCTCGATTTGTAGATTGAATTGACAATCCTTTCGCGGTCTGTGCACCGTTAAGCAGCTACTCTACAACATTTTAAATTGAATTTGTCAAAACAACCGCCCGTTTTGTTTGAAACTACCTTCTTTCGCTGATTGAAGAACCCCTTTGATTCGATTTAAAAAAAATGACGGGTCTACTAGTGCAACATCCAATTCAAAGCTGGAAATAATCGGCTCCTACAATCAAAGCAAAGGAACGGAATCTTATCCTCGGTTCAATCTAGTGAAACTTTCGCATCCCCGGCAGACTTTCATCTTTTTATCCGGCGTTGCTGCCGGTTGTACTTCCATTCGTCTGCTCCACGGCATAAGCGCATTTGGTTTTATAGTCAGGAAGGTTAATTTCAATTTCACGCTTACAAAAATCGATTTCACACCTACTTGAAACCGCCTTTATGCGACCCTATAAGAGCATGAGGTTTAGTGCAGGTGGTACTTCTATTTACCGCTTTTATTTTATCTCTAGATAAATCTAGGGAAATTGCGCAAGAAGATATAATAAAGACAATGCAAATTTAAATATGAGAAAAATTTAGCTTATTGAGACCCTTCTATTTCATTGTAAATACCTTAAGGGTCGTTACTAAATCGAAACGTCGGATCCAAATTCAGTTTAAAAGACGAAATTGAGAAGGCGCTGGGGTGTAAGCACCCAATGCCGGAAAGACCGGAAACAGTATCCATGCGAGAAAGATTGTCTTTCGGTCAGTCATTTCCTATCCTTTACATTCCCGACTTTTGCCTCGCCTCCATTGACCATTACTTTAAAATTGCTCCGGAGATCTCCGGGCCGGGGCCGATCGCAATCTTAGATTTTTCATTATCTGCTTCGGTGTTTGCTGAAAACGACCATTCGACTATTTTCGAGACGGAACGATTCGATTCTATTTCTAGTTCAGTGGAATTCAATAAACACCTCGTAGATAATGCGGCGTGGATTGCTCGCTTTGATTACCGCCGCTCGGAAATAAAAAAAAGACACACTGATATCTACCGAGTGTTGTATTCCATTCGAAATAGGTACGCTATATTTCACTTCTCGCTTTTAAACATTTTTAAAGCGTTAGAGAATATTCAAATGAAACTCGTAGTTTATTCCTACATGTATAAGAAGGGGCCGATGAAATCGTGTGAAGAATAGCAAATATTGTTATTGTTATGGTGCCTCATAATGAACCACATAATATTTCCTTTTGTTTGATACATCTTTTCCTTCGCTATCTACGAAGACTATATTCAGGAAACGTAGCATCCATTACGATGCACTTCTAATTCTATAAAACTGAGTCATCAATTACGTGGGGGTGAAAATTCCGGGTTTCGGTAACCGTCACTCACTGTCAAGGATCTATTGGTGTTATATTAGAAGTGAAATTTTGGGGGCAAATAATATTCACAATGGGAATCAATCATTTATTTGTGTAGAGTCGTAATTAAATCGAAGCGGCGGGCGATTTTCGCTAGCAATGTTTCCCGGAATAAATGATATTTGGTATACGGACTTATTGGAGTTGATGACGGTTTGTTAATAAACCCTCGATATTGCTGATTCATGTATAACGGCTACTTTTCCTGCGTCTTCTTCGTAATGCTGGTGGATAATTCGATTTGCAATATGTTTGGTATATTTAGTAGAATTTTGAGAAATTAAATTCCTGAAGAAGCAAAGGAATTAGTGAATAGAGAAGGAATGGCGTAAAGGAATAAGCTAGAATCAGAAGCTCAAAGGACTGGAAAAAAGTGCTGCTAATAAAACTTTCTTTCAACATATTCCTGTGAACCTACATCAAGGAAATGAAAGACCAATTCCCTGGCCTATAATTAAGAATCATCCCCAATCCCCATCACCATATTTACAGATTAAGTCTGCTGCTTTTACGACGTCGCTTTTCCAACGGGCCGCGCTCACCTTTTTCTCTTTATAGTTCTTTGAATAATTCACGGTGCGACGCGACCTCCGCCATTTTCCGATCTGATCGGATCAGATCGGACGATCTTCTGAACGTAAATCATGGCGGCGCAGAGTAAACCGGAAGGTTGCGTTAATCGAACACTGAAGTTTGTGTAATTTATTAGCAGTTAATTTTAAGGAGTGTTCGATTTTACGAGCGACTCCCGCAGTCTGCGAGTTCCCGACCATATTTACGACCTTCTCGGGGATAAACACACCCCATTACCGGCACCGGATTATTTGCAGGTCTTCCGTGCCGTTTTTGCGCGCGGAGACTAGTTGATTTTAAAAGCGTTCTCTTTTATTTTTTTCGAAATAGATTAAATAAGTAGTTGGAGATAAGCCGGAGCTTGTTTTTTTTCGACGCCCTACATCCATGATTTGTCGCCGGGACTGCCGGTAATTCTCCGAGGGTCATTAGGTGGCAGCGAAAAAGTAAATTTATTTTTCAATTTCGTTTAAAGCCTAGCGACCTTCTGGCACGCCGAAAGAGAGAAAAAAAGGAGTATTTTAAGAACGCCATAACTCGCCCTTTCAGCCACTACGAAAATTGCCCGTTCACATTTCAGCCGTAATGTCGTTCGGGCCGTACCGACTATTTTTTATTCTCTAACGTCCCGCCATGCGATTTTCTTTAATATTATGAAGCCGTCGACTTGCATAAGGAAAAGCCACTTCGAGCTTCCACTCTGTTGCCACATATCATCACGCATATTTCCATATTTCTGCTTACTTAACCGAGATCTCTAATTGTTTGCACCTGACCTATTCCACATTCTCTTACTAATTACCAAATAATAAAACGCTTAATTTATTATAAAATACGTCATAAGTGTTTTCCTGAATATACCGACAATTTCCATCGATATGGCAACACCACGAAATAAGATAGTGGCGACGCCACTCTGAAGAGTAATGCCGAGAATGTGATGAGCTAGCCGGAGTAATGGTTACTCGGTAGCTATTATCAGCTTTCATCTTTCTGCCACGTAAAAAAGTGTTATGGCTGAAGGGAAAATTGCCTAGGTGGTAACTTTTTATGATAACGAGTAAACATGGTCCCCGCATTTATTCCTGCTACGAAAGCAGGATTGCCGCTAACCGGAATAGGACGGAGGGTGTGTATGTGTGTGTGTTTTGTAGTGTGCGAAAGTATTTTTTTAAATCGGCCCTTCTGTCTTTTGGTTTAATTTTATGGGGTTCAAAATTATACGCGAAGAGGTTAAGAAGTGCAAAAGACGGAATAATAGTTCCCTACTTTTGGCTATAAATCGCACAAACTTGACTGAATACATTGTATAAAAAATAAACCTCACCTTTGCATGCACGGGTCACAAGAATTAACGTCCACTCGTTGCAAATACAATGAATAACATTGCAGCAAAAAGCATTAAATGGTGAAGATTGAGCGACTTTGAAACAAAAAAGTCGGGCCCGCTCTGATGGATGCGACTGAACGTAATTTAGGTTTTAATTTGGTTAGTTTACTCCGATGGAAACGTCGAAAAAAGAATTGATGACCTATTTAAAAAGATCGATTCCATTTCGCAGGAGCTTAAAATATATATCTCCGGAGATGAAAAGAAAAATGTTGTTACTATAGTGCTATAAAACTTCAATTAAAGCGCGCTTAAAGAGAGAGATGTATATGGTTGTATATAACGAGAAGAGGAAGGGCACTTGAGTTAACTAACTGGTTATGAATGGCTCAAACAAAGTTTTTAAAACTCCATGAACTTGGCGGTAACTTTGTTATTTTGTAATATACGTGTGTTTCACTTTCCGGTGGCAGTTTAAACTTGTTACGCGGTTATAATATTGCCCGTGTCGAAATTTATGTTAATAATAAACGAGAGTGAACGTAGCTCTGTTTGAATTTTGACGTGCCCTTATTTTTGAATAAAATTTACACATTAGATAAATTTCAAACATTAATAATTTCAATTTTTTGTAACTGGATTATTTTATGAACATTTTCACTCGTTCTTTGTTGACTTGTCTGATTGAATTTTAAATCCTCAGCTCAAAGTTATGACCTACATATTCGGTATACTTTACCGTATTTTCGAATATGTTTCAGTTGATAAATTTCATAGGTTTTAAATTGAACCGACTCGAAATGACTGCAAATACGATTTTAGAAACAGACATTCCGCATTTTCCTAAATGAATGCGAATCCGAAGTTCCGTATTCAGCAGAAGCAACATCGAAGGATTAAGATTACTTTTATCCACGGTAGAAAATAAATTTAATAAGGTCCTTTTCGCTTTTCTGCGGTAAATGATGAACTTGCTGGATGGCTGAGAGCACAAAGGAGGATTTATCTTTTGAAAACCGATTATTATTGGTACTTGGAAAGAAAGAAATGGAGAATTGATTGAGCATGGAGAGTTGCAGCCTCACTGGTTACCAATGGCTGTAGAAATCGTTTGAAGTGTTCTAAAATATGGCTGAAATTTTTCGATTTGACCATTTAAAAAATTTCTGGAAGCCTATTGCAATGGAGGATAATATCGAGAACTCTTTAAGCGACATCTTAATTTGTTTATGAATTAAGATGAAATAAGAAAAAAAATCGGACTAACCAGCTCTGGTCTTTGATGAATTTTGTTTTTAATCTGAAACTTCTGTGATATATCGGATTTTCCTTTGCAATTCGTATATATCCTTATTTTCCCGAAACCCCATCAGCTTATCCAGTTAGGAAAGCGCAAACAATATTTGTACTCAGAACATCCCTTAGCTCCATCCAATATATCGGAGCCATTTGGCACGACGGGGTATCAAATTTAATAGATTAATCTCGGCAGCATTAGGAGATTAGAGAATAGAGGTTCTACGGCAGTACGGACGAAGGGGGAGTGCTCGCGAGCGTACGATGCAAGAGATTTTTTTAAGCATTTAATAAATTTATAAGCATCCTGGGACTTTTGCAGAGCAATTCCGTTCAACTATTAACCTAATCTTTTAATGGGACTATTTGAAATGAATATATTAGCAGCTTAATTTTCATATAAAAGGGTTACTTTTCCGTATTAGGTAGATCCATATCTACCTAACTTAGATGGTAATACGATACAGAAGTATGCAATTAACCCGCGCAAGAAGGTCAGGATTTAGTTAAGCGAAAGAAACGCCGAGAATTCAAATTCAATTAAACTCACGTGACGAAGTAGGTAGCGTATGCAATTCGAAATAGCCGGAACAAGTCGTAAATCATGCATGTGTATATCAAAACCCTCGGGAGAATCTCTTCCCCAGCGATACGGGAAGCAGACGGAGCGCTTTCAGCAATTTAATGAGAAAGATTTGCCGCTTACCGCACTCCGCAAATTCATACTATACATGTGATTTTCCAGTTTCGATTAAAAAATAAAATCGATTTAGGTATTTAAATGAGTTTTGTCAATATACATGTAAAGATACGGTTGAACGAGAGTATAGGAACTCCATTTTGTATCGCAATCTTTTTTATTCGTTTTATTATTACATCTACATACTGGTAATAAAGCTATTTTTATTATAATATTCATGTATAAAATTTTATAAAAAAAACTCTCATTTGTTTCAAAATTAATTTACCGATTTGTCGCGCCGGTTTTAGCCGGTTTTTGAAGCATTCATTGTCTCCGAAGGGAACTTAAATAAAAGACCAAAAGCATTAAAAAATCCAGTGTTCCTCATTACGGCCGGGCGCCAGACAGAGCAAAAATTACTTCGAAATTAAACGACGTGTAAATTTCATACGCTCGGGCGACAAAAAACGAACGTGTGAAATTCGAGACGGCCGTCGCGACGCAAATCTGACGTCACTAATAAGTTCAAAGACGCTTCGAATGTATAATGGTATCGTTTGTCTGTCGCTGATGGTCTAATTATTCTCAATGTGCCTTGTCGTCTAAAAATATTTTTTTTAAATTTCGATTGTATGTCATTTCTTTTGTAAATTTTAGGGGTATAAAACTAATCACAGTTGAAATGAGTTTTATATCGAATTAAGTTCGTAATTATTATTTTAATAAGACACCCGGATGGGTGTAATTTAGGGACGAATATTTGATTCTTAGCTTTATTTTAAGGGTTATTAAACTACATCTGCATATAAATAGAAATATTATAAAATTCCCGTTCGTATTCATGTAGTGCACTAGAGGGCATTGTTACCTAACGACCCGTGCTATTATATGTAATATCGAAATACAGTAGTGCATGTGATAAGCTCGAAATAGTTCGGTGTAGCTACAAAATTCCGATTTTCTCATTCGTTGTTTTTGTAAATTAAAAAAAAAACAACTACCGACTGGTATCTCCCCCTTGAACTTCTCGTGTACAGATCACCGCGTCCCCGCCTTATCTCCACGTCCGTCTGGCTGCCGGCTTTTCTCTTAGCCAGAAAAGGATAAATTTGAATTTGGAATGATATCCGGACCGCAAAAGTTACACGCACCGTTAACCAACGGACCGAAGGACGTGCACTACGTACCAAATTCCCTGCACCTTTAGTCCGCTCTCGCCCGTAGTGGTTTGCTAAACGATCTCCTATTCCGTATGCTGCACCAGCAACGAATCGTTTACTGAATGGTTCGGTGCTCCTCGCAGTTTTCGCTCCCCGATTTTAGCATTAACTGATTACTGGAAGAGTCGCGCTCGTTCGAATTAATAAAATAATCAATTTCCATCCGAGCACGTTTTGCATTGCACAGATCATTCTATCGCTGATCTTTATTACCACACTTTTAAAAATATATTTGTTAATTTGAAAATAAAGGAAAGATGATTAATTCTTTAGAAAAACCATCGATTAGTAATTACCTTGCAAATTGTTAAATACATTATATGTATAATTTAATACTGCATTATCTATAATCCTAAAAGCTTATATATTCTCATATATTTAATCTGAGAGTTTTGCACGAGCACTTGCAAACTTTGTCCCCGAACTATTTCAGCGGATGGAAATCTTCCTATAAAAGGATTAGTCGAATCTCCCCGCTCCATGACTGTGTTACTATTATAATTTACTCTATTTCCGCTAAGTCCGCAAATCTCCAAACAATTTTACACTACATCACATACAATTATTGCGTGGCGTGTGAGTTTGTGTGTCTGTTCGGGATCCGAATTCGAAATGTTATAGAATTCACGTTCCGTGTAATTACGAATCGGATTTATCAAAAGGAGGATTCCGGTTGTTTTTTTTTTTCGTCGTCGCAAATAGCGTTGTCAATTATTCCGGGAAATATAAATAGAGCGAAATCGGAGTTCAGCGAGAAAAAAATTTT